ATCAATCAATCAATCGTTTTTTTAGTAATAATCATTATAAGTTTATTGAATGAAATTCCCCCCAACTTCATCAATAATGTTAAATATTCGTTATTCTAGTTATTCTTTTTCTTTTTTATCGTAGTTCTTTTTTTTCATTAAGTTCTTAATATCTTAAATTATATTAATTTAATGTTCATGAAATAGATGATGATAATTACAAATTGACTCATGTTATTTACATTTTCTTAAAGGTAATAAAAATAATTACTAAATATTATTTGGAATATTTAAATAATATATCATTGAATTCATTCATCTTATACTGTTATTTTATTTTGGTATTAACATTTTCTATAATTTTGTTTTATTATTATGAAATCATTAACTTATTTTAATGTTTAGTTACTTGTGTAATAGCTGATCTAGATCTTTTAAACTAATTCTCTAATTATTCTTTCCTTAGGCTTTACCTAAAATTTTCCCTTTTTGAGAATATAACAATAAACTCAATTTAAATCTTCTATTCTTTTCCAATTTAACAAATGTTCTTCTTCTTTCATTTGCTGTCACATCTTTCAAAAATTCCAATTAAAATTTACTCATTCTTTCCATCAATATTACATATTACATTTTATATTCAGGTATTCTTATATTATTTTAAAGAATTCATACTTATTTTAATTAAACATTTCTATCACATAATTACTTTAAAAGAATCGAGTAGCTTATGGAGTTGTTGGTTATTTGATCAGCTTTAATTCAGGAATCTTATATTCTCGTACAAATTAAGGCAATTTATTTTATAGACTATTGTTCTTTCTATGTAATCTTAAGGAGATCTGATTATATTTGGAATTGAACTAGAATGATTATTTAAATTCGCTTTAACTTGCTAATAAAGTAGATTAAATTAATTCTGTATTTTCAGGAGTACCTCCCAAAAGATTCTTTAATTTTAGTCTTGTGGCAGGTAGTTAATTCTCATATAAACTACTTGTGTTTGAAATTGAGTTCTTACTTAGAAAGTGGTGACTACTTTTTGGAGAATTAAAGATACTGGATGCATCACTTTTTCTTTTTCTATGATAAGATTCACTTGATATTAATCTACCCATACTATCTCTTTCATTGATGAAGGGTACAAATGTTTGTTTTTTTTCAATTAACTGATTAAGAGGATGTTCATTGTTTGTTATTGAATCCATGATCAAGGCTCTTTTAACTGCCTCAGTTTTATGTAAAGCTGGAAGTTATCTGTCTTTGTAATACACACAATAATCTAATAAATTTTCAGAAGGATGCTTTTTCATTATTTATATTTTGTAATTAATAATGAGTTACGAATCATGTGATTTATAAACAGATTCAAGATATCCTTTTGATCCAAGAGCAAATGCATTTGAATTAGCAAAAATGGAGAATATAAGAAGGAAATAACATCCATTAATTTTAATAACAAGAGTTAAATCAAATGGAATTCATTATTTTATAGGTCCATCAAAATCTTATTCTAATGAATATCCAATTGAATTAGAACCTTATATAAGTAAGGAAGATTTTGAAGCCTTCATAAATGAAGTAAATAATGTAATCATAAAATATTGGCCTTGTTTTTTCACATTCATTTTGGCATTTGGTTTTTCTATTGTTTCTTGTTTCTTAAGTCTTTATCTACCTAGAGTTTGTATTGAAGATGTTGAAAGATTTTTAGGATATGTTTTAGAGAGATGGAATGAGGGTTGGGAAGAGAAAATGATTAAAGTGGAATACAAAAGGAATCTATTTAATAGTGAATTATAATTTTATAAATTATGATAATGTTGTATTATTAGTTATGATCATTTATAAATGAGAATTTAGAATAATGAAAACTTGAATTAGAAACATTTAAATTTTATATAATTTAATGAAAGTGTTATTATTTTGATTAATTTTGAGATTCAATTAGTCTTATATTGTGTTTAATAAATAAATGAGTAAATTATAAGAATCAAATACATTTGAAAATAGCAAGAAATATAAAATAAAAACAGAACGTAGTACATTAATGGCATCACCAAAGAATAAAGAATTCGATGTATAAGAAGATTTAGTTAAGAGATTGAATGAGAATTAAAAGAGTTTATAAAAAGAAATAGAGAAATTACATTAAATTGTAGAAAATAAGGAAGATTAAATAAGAAAATTGTAAGATTTAGTGAAATTACAATAAAAAGAGATTGATCGATTGACTCATATTAATGAATATTTAATGTAAGCGAATTAGACAAAATTGAGCATATTAAGAGATGAGAGACAATCAAATTAAGGAAGTAAAACAAATGTAAAAATAAAGAATCATAAATCATTAATGCCTTTAGATAAAAAGGTTAATAAATAACCAGAAGATAATACATAAACAATTAAATTATATCGTAGATAGACATTTCGTAATCCTACATTAATGAAGTTCCATTAAGAAGAAGGAGACACATTTAAAAGTGATAGAAATACATCTGGATCATCTAATTTTTATGACATACTACAACAAGAAGATTGTTTCAGAACAAATGCTATTTTAAATATTTAACTATGTACTAAAGAATTTTACTTATAATAGCTGATGAAGATGCAACTACTTAATATAATTAAGATGGAACTGTTTAATTAATGAAAGTACTATTAGATTCTGAAGAAATCTTTAGTGAAATCATATAATCAATATCTGCATAGAAATTGTCATTTCTGTTTGATAAATTTAAAAGAGTAATGTCAGATCATTAATAATTATTTATATTGGTATTAAGATTAAAAAAGATTGTGACTGGAGCATTATAAATGAATACATCTGTTTTATTAGATGATGCATTATAAAATATTATAGATAAATGTGTTGATTGTTTAGAATGTGATAGAGCATCATGTTTTATTGTAGATTAAACTAAAAAAGAATTATGGACTAGAGTAGCCAAAGGAACATCAACAACTATTCGATTATAAATTGGTTAAGGATTAGCTGGTTTTGTTGCTTAAAATCATACAATATTAAATATTGAAGATGCCTATAGAGATTAAAGATTTAATACATAATAAGATGCAAAGAATAATTATAAAACTAAAACTCTTTTGGTTTCTCCTATTTTAGATGGTGACAAATGTGTTGGTGTATTATAATGTGTTAATAAATCTAATGGTTTCTTTACTAAAGATGATGAAGCTTTATTATAAATAATGGCTGAATTTAGTAAAAGTGTTCTTAAGAATGCTTTGAATCATGATGCATAAATGTTAATATAAAATAAACTTAGACATATTATAAGAACAGGCATCATTTTATAAGGTTGTCTATTCAAAAAAGATAATATATAAGAATTATTACTATCTTCAGAAGAACGACTTAGATCATTAATGAATGTTGATTAAGCAAAAGTTATCTATTGGAATAATAATTTATATCACATTAATAAAGATGGTAAAATGACAGAGACTTAAAATTTAATAGGGATTGTAGGTAAATGTATTGAAGAATCATAATTGGTAGCAGTAAGTAATTGTTATACTAGTCCTATATTCAATCCAAATATTGACATTGAAACTAATATGCCTATAATATGTATGCCTTTAAAAACATAAAATCATTAAATTATTGGTGCCATTTAAGTAGTCAATGTAAAAGGAATTGGAAATATTTCATCTAATAGTGATGCCAAGATTAATTCAATAGATCTAGATATGTTGGAACTCTTTTGTTAACATTGTGCTTAATCTTTATTGTAATGTAAATTACATACCTAATAATTATGATATTAATTAAATAATATTAAATAATAATGGGCAATTCACAAAAAAATGATTAGAAATTAATCTCTACAGTTTGGTTAGGTGTAAATGTAACAAGTAAATCTTAAGTTAGGATGAGTGGCCATCCTTAATGAAAGAAAAATTATCTCGTCTTTCTGAAGAATGGATTGTTCCTTCAATCAAATGTTTAGATAGATTTTCTTAAAAAGAACATAAAAAATTTAGAAATTAAGTTAAACTAATTTGTATATTTTATTTATTATTGAATAGTAACAAAGAAAATCAGAGAAGATCAATATGAAGAATTATTCAAAAGAAGTTAAGTATTTTTGTAAATTCATTTCAATTAATTATGATTCTATAGAAACAATAATGAATATTTTAGATAAGATTTCCAATTAGGTATCCCAATATCAGAACTTACTATTTCTACAAATACTAATTCTAGTAAATTATAATAATATATCTTAGTTGGTAAAATCAATGATTATCAATCTATATCATCTAAGATATAAGATAGTTTATTAATGGAAGATCAAAGTTCCTAGGTTTAATAATTTTATGTTTTAATATCTTATATAAATGATGTAGTAATTTGCCATAAACATCCTTTTATACATCTAATGAATTAATTTAAAGAATGGGCAACTATTTAATTCACTATTATTAAGAATTCTAATATACAATAATTAAAATAAAAGCTTTAAAGATTTTAGATATCCTCGAATCTCTTTTTGAATTTTCTAATTTTTTCATTGAATGAATATTTAGGAGATTTTAGTGATGAAATAAATGAAGAAGGATCCAATAAATATATTAAAGATAAATAAAATTATTTTAATTTATTTCTATAACATGTACTTTTTTATATATATATATTTAGATATATAATGAAAACTTAATAAATCATCTTATGGATATACTTAAAATAATACATTAAAATAACCAAAATAATTTTATTTAAAAAATAAAACATATACAATTCAAATTTGAATGTTTTGAAATTCCAAAAAAATATCTAATTCATGATAAACCATTCAATTAAGAAATCTCATGTTTAAATGAAGTACAATAATTAAAACGACCTGCAGATATTTTTTATTGTTTTACGAAAACATTTTTAATGATCAAGGATCATTTAACTAAATCTGCATCTAATTTTTTGATTTTCCAAGTAACCAATTATGTTATTGTGCATTCTAATGTTGAATATATTTATGTAATTCTCCATTTACTAGAACTCTTCTATTGTAATTCACTTATTTTACATAAATATCATCAATCATTGGAATTCATATAAAATATTATAATTTCTTGAATCCTTGAGATTAATGATGAATTAAGTAACAAGATTATTTATAAAAATTAATAAATAAATAAAAATGCAATAAAATCTAAAACCTCTACTGATTATTGACTCTAGATATACTCTCTATGACTTAAGACAAAAAAGAACATACAAATATAATACTGTTCTATAGAAATCCTTCATATTACTTCAACAACATTTTCAAATATTAGTCATTTTTTGTCACTCTAAATCTAATACTAATGAATTTTTTTATAATGAATTTCAAAAGAATTTTTAAGGAATCGACTCAAAATAACTTTCAATATAAGAATTATAAAACACTTCATTTCAAAATCAAGAAATTATTGTTGTAACTCATAATTATGAATAATTCATTCTCAATCAAAAATATCAGTTATACTATTTTTCAAGTGTTTCATAATAATTAGATAAAAAAAAATAATTAGAACTTAAATATTATTAAGCAAATCCTAAATCAAATTTTCATATTTCCCATATTCAGTAAATCATGTCATATTTTTCAAAATCTGAAAATCCTTTCTGTGTTGGCTATTATTTTTATCCTAAAAAATTTAATGAATTAATTCAATTTGATGCATTAATTAGCAATAATAATTTCAATTATATCCCCATTGATTTTAGATTTTACAATAAATACATACAAATTAATTTATTATTTCATAGATTAATGGATATCTATAAGAAAAAGGAAATCAATATGAAATAGAATGAGGTTGAATTATTTTAATAAAATTATGACAAATTTATAACTGAAAATGCTTAAATACCAGTTATAGATTCAATTGAATGTTTAAAGACGTTAATTTAAAGAGATGAACTTAATATTAAATTATAATCTATTTTTTCTAGTCCCCAATTCTAAAATGCTATATAAGAACATTAAATAAAGATTATGACTCCAGAATAAATTGTTTATGACAATAATTATTAACATTAAGATTTGTCAAATCTAAAATATCCACTCATTGTAAAAAGTAAATAAGGAGCGTTAACAGCTAATTGTCATATAATGGCTATAGTAGTAAATGAAAAAGGACTAAGGGAATTGTTTAAGCAAGAATAATTTAAGTATCAGATTATTAGTAGATTAGAGGATAATTAATCTTGTAGTAAATTATTAACCATAACAGCATTATATACAAAATATATCAATTAGGAAGTAAAATGATTGTACAAAAACGAAAATCAATTCCTAATATAGAAATAAACAATTTTAAATTTGAAGAAGTAATTTTGATATTAATAAACTTTAGGGTTTTTACATTTTTGATACACAAAAAGATTTATTTAAAAATGTTTCATAATGTTTGAAATAAGTGGATGAAGGAATTCATGAATGTTCAAATGAAGATTAATTGCTTAAATAGATGGAATTATTATCTTCAATTATATCAAAAGATTTTAATTTACATCTTTTTGGTTTTGATATTATTGGAATGAATTGGGAATTCTATATTATTGACATAAATCATTTTCCAGGATATAAAAATGTAAGAAATTACAAATGTATATTAGGTTGAAAATGCTAGGGAATTATTTGAGTAATTATTTATATAAGTATCAAAAAAATGAGGATTTGATAAAAAAGATTATAATTTATTATAAAAATTTGTAAAATGATATAATTGCTAATCAAATTAATTTAGAAAATTCAGGAGCTAAATTTATGACTTCAATTTCTTCATCTTCATTTGATTAATGTGGAATTCTTGTATTTCTCTTACTTGGAGTTGTAAGTATATATGAAATTTATTTACTTTGTTTTCTGGGACTAATCTATTTTTATGAAGAATTATAAGAAAGTTTTGAGCTATTTTATTTATTATTCTCTCTTGGTTTATATAGATAGATCTGATTATAATAAATAATATGTTATTTTTTTGGGGATTTTGGAGTTTTAGTTGGACTTTTCTTAGAACTCTTTTTATGATTATTCTTTCTTCCCATTATTTATCTATAGGAATCATTAGGATTACAAGCCCATAATTTTAGTCTTGATTATTATTATTGTTGAGTTTCTTCTGGATATGATATTTCAGGTAAATCTTTAATTTCTTATTCAATATCATTATTATCTGATAGTTTCTATTGGAATTATTATTAGTTCTGATTTAAGATATTGAACACTTCTTTCGATATTGGTTATTCATAATATTATTGTAATTACTCACTTTTATCTGTTTGATCTCCTTAGTTGTTAGACTCCATATAACGTTTTGAACTTGCCTTTGGAAATAGTTACTATTATTCTTATTTCTCTTAAACTTTAGACATATCCAAAATTTTAAATTGCACAGGTATAGGTGATAAATTTTTATGACCTGACTTTTCTTTGCTTTTATTTTTGATATTAGATTATCTCTTTTATTGATAGAACCGTTCTTGTGATTCACTCATTATTTTTTCATGTGTTGAATGCACTTTAGTTAATTTAATCTCATTTAATTCTTTTATAGGAGTTTCTCTACTTGGAGTATTTTCAGTCCCTCTAAATGTAAACTTATTTTCTCTTTAAGGTGTAGGATTAATTTTCATAACTGAGTAAGAGAGTGGAGTACATAGTGTCTTGGAGCGTAACTTGTAGAAGGAAGGAGAAAGGGATCGACAAGCAAATAAAGGTCTAGTCACAACAAATGCAGGGATAGGATGGAATTTGCGATCTATGGAGCTGAAATGTTAACGAATTTATTGAATCTGATATTGCATTGTTTTATATAATTAATACATTCATCAAGAAAAATCAATATTTCTTAAACAACTTAAATAGAATTAGATTATTATGATAATTTAATATATATTTCATTATTTGTCTACTTATGTTAATCCTTAAACATCTTCTTGTATTTTTAATTCATTATTTTATATATTATTATACTTTTGTCTTTTTATTCTTTAAATTAATTATATTCTATAATTTTGATGCAAATATTTAATATTAAGTTGTTTGTAATTATCTTGTTAAAAATATATATATATACTTATGTTAATATTATATATTAAAAATTTTAATTTTAAATACACAAAATATGTTGTGAGTTCTGTATATATAGGTGAATAAGACTTCTATTGATTTATCTTAATTAGATGAGTGTTTGAATAGACTGAAATCATAAAAATAATATTGATAATATAATTATAAAATGAAAACAAAGGAACTTTGGACTCACACAATTGATAAGCCAACTGAGCCAAATTTGAATCTCACAAATCAAGTATTTGCTTGTGCTTTTTTAAAAGGTAAAATTTATGCAATATTATGAATAGATGGAGATGTTGTAGTTGCTGCTGTAGGTAATGCTATACTCTTATTTGATACATAAAAATCTGAAATGCTAAGACCACCTTTAAGAGGACAACATAAAGATACAATCACTTGTTTAGCTGCATCTAAAGATGGAAATAAAATGGTTACAGGTAGTGCAGATAAAACAGTTGTTGTGTGGGGATTCAATATCACTAGAGGTGATAAGATGTTGGATGCAGAGAAATGGTTTTCACATAGTGATGCCATTTAATGTGTTGCCATAAGTCCTTTGATGTATTAGATATTTACGGGTTCAAATTAAGAATACTCTTTATGGATTCCTGGAATGGGGAATATTGAAAGGTAGAAGTATAAGGAGAAAATAATATGTGCAGCATGGAGTGCTGATGGATAGTATGTTTCATTTGGGACAATGAGTGGTATGATTGAGTTCTTTACACATTAGGAATTGTTGTGATCACAGATAGATAAGCACATTAATTGAAGGAGATTTCGACTTAGAAAGGTGGACCAGTATGGTGTATGGAATGGACTCCTATAACATCTGAGTATTAATAGTCTCAATTAACTGTTGGAGTGTGGATGAATTCATTATATTAATTTGATTATAATGGATAATAAATTGGGACTAGAATAGAATTACCATTTGATCCTTTACATATCAATTATTAATATAATGGTGAATATATGGCAATTGCAGGAAATAATAATAAGATTAATCTATATACAAGAGAAGGAGGATTTTTAATAGAAGCCTGTTCACTTAATGATTGGATCTGGTGTACTAAATTAAAACCAAAATCTACAGTAATTGTTTGTAGTACTAATGATGGTGATATTGTTGTATAAGAATTATTATCAGAAAATGTTACTGCATTATATGATGATAAGTTTGTTTAGAGAGAATAATTAACAGATGCTATCATATTATCAATGATATCTAATTAGAAAGCAAGGATTAAATGTAAAGAATTAGTCAAAAGAGTGGCTATATTTAAAGAGAAAGTGGCTATTTTATGTGGTATTAAGGTGTTAATTTATACATGCGTTATTAAAGGAGATGATTTTATGAAATATAAATAATTCAAGAAATTTTAGAAGAGAGTAGATTGTGAACATTTTTAATTGGCATCATCTAATGTCTTAATTGGAGCAGGATAGAAATTAATAGCATTTAATTTCAATGGAGATATGGATAAAACTTGGAGTTTTGAATCACCTATTACTGTTGTTTCTTGTTAAGGTGGTGCACCTAAAAGAGAATTAGTATTGATTGGATTAGAGAATGGAAGTATCTATAAAATCTTTTTGGATAATTCATTCCCTATATAAATTCATAAGGTTAATACACATATAAAATATTTGACAATGTCTTAAACAAAAAGAAAAATGGCATTGATAGATGGAAATTAGAATTTATAAGTATTAGATACTATCAGTAAAGAAGTTTTATTTGGAGAAATGGGTGTTGAAGGTGTTGCTTTTAATCAAGAATTTGAAGATTTGATAGCTTATTCAGGTAAAGGATTATTATTTTTCAAATGTATTACATTTCCAGCATTAAATTAAAAAATATCTGGAAATGTTATAGGATTTAAAGGATGCAAATTATTCCTACAAAATAATAATTAAGTCTAAACTATAGATATATAATAAACTGCCAATATGCAAAGATATCTAGAGAAAAAGGATTTTTTGAATGCTTTAAAGATAGCTTGTCTTGGTGTAACAGAATAAGATATAAGGGCTTTAGGTATTGAGGCATTGATAGCAGGGGAATTTGAAATAGCAAGAAGAGTATTAAAGATAATAATAATTTTTAGTGTTTTTTAAGAAATAAAGATTACTAATTTATTGATTTACTATTGAAATATGAGAAGAAAAATATGGATGCTTAAACACTAAATGAATTAAATGCAGAGGCTTTGGCATATTAAGGAAGATTCATGGATGCTGGTAATCTATTAATAAAGGTTGGGTAAGCTGATAGAGCAGTATAATTATTTAAAGAATTAAGAAGATGGGATGATGCAATAAGTTAATAATTATTTTAAAGTAGATTTTGCTAAAAAGGGAGATGTTGCTTATAGAGCTGTTACATCTGGAGGAAGAACTGGCACTGGAGTTAGAGCACCAACTTCTTAAGGAAGAACAGGTACAGGTAGAGGTTAAGCTGTTATGCCATAACCATAAGATATAGCACCTCCTAAGATAGAAATGAATATGTTGTTAAGAGAATAGGCTGAATGGACAAAAGAATCTGGAGATTGGAAGGCTGCAGCTGAATTATTTGTCACTTGTTAAGAATATAAAAAGGCAATTGAATTATATGGATAAAATAAATATTTGGATGGATTGATTAATGTTTGCAGAATGTTAGATAGATAAGAAAATTCAGATAATATTGTTTTGTGTGCTAATTATTTTAAGAAACTCAAACATCATGGAGGTGCTAAAGAAGCTTATCTTAAATTAAATGATTTAAAAAACCTTATGATTTTACATGTAGAATTTCAAAAATGGTAAGAAGCCTTTTAAATTGGAAGATCTAATAAGGAACTTCTTGAAATTGCCAAAGTACCTTATGCTGATTATTTATTATTAAATGATAGGTATGAAGATGCTCTCAAGGCTTATAAAAGTGCAGGTAGATATGATATTACAATGAAAATGACTAAAGATATGGCTAAAAATTGTATAGAAGAATAAAGGTATCATGATGCTAGTTAATATTTATGGAATTTAGCAATTGATTGTTTAAATTAGATTCAAGACTATAAAAATCCATCAGGAGATGATGTGAAAGCTATCAAATAATATCATGAATATAGTGATTTAGCAGATGTTTATTATGCATATTAAAAGATACATAGTTTCATTTGTGAACCATTTCAACCTTTATCAGGAGAAACATATTTCATATAGATTATGAATTCTTCTAGATTCATAATATCAAAGTGGAAGAGTGTATATTAGGGAATAAAAATGAGTTATGTTTATTATGCTTTAGCTAAGTGTGCAGCTTAACTTGCATGTTTTAAGACAGCTCGTATATGTTATGAGAAATTGAATGTAAATAAATCTTTATAATAATTATTTAGTAATTCAAGATACATGCAGAATGGAGTGAAGAAATAGATCTTCAATCTTTATTAGTTAGATCAAAACCATATACAGATGATGAATCTAAATTACCATTATGTATGAGATGTTCAACATACAATTTCATAATTAATGTTAATGAACAATTATCATTATGTAATGCTTGTTTGCATCCTCTCTTTTGTTCTTTTATTAGTTTCTCTACTCTACCCCTTGTTGAATTTAAAGTTGATAATTCATTATCCAGAGATAATGTTGAAAGATTGCTTAATAGCGAAAAAGTATTTATAAATAAGAGACCAGGATAATTATTCCAAGATAAAATCAATGAAATTATTTAATAATAACAAACATCCCAAGATTAATATTTAGTTGTAGAATTAGATGAGACTGCTGTTTAATCACTTTCTCCAGAAGAAGTTTTGATTGTAGATTATAGGTAATATTGCAGTACTATTGATGTTAAATATTATAAAAATATGGTTGGTGAATAGCCTATTCATGTTTGTCCTGATTGTGGAAGATTCTTCTATATTGATGAACATGAATTTGAATATATCTAAAAAAGATGTTGTCCTTTTTGTAGAATTTCAGATAAAAAAATAACTTAGAAGGATGTTTTTGATATTTGATAATTGTAATATAATAAATAATTAAATATATATTAAATTAAATGAATGAGACGAATTTTGCCTTTAAAGCACAAACACCAAAAGTGCAAGGTGGACAAGCAAAAAATATCAAATTTCCATCATAAAATGATCAAATGAAGGAATTAGTTACTTAATTCAAATTTAAAGAATAATTAAGAATAGATGAATGCAAAAAGAAGATGAATTAGATTAATACAAATTTTAATGAGTTAAAATAACTTTGAAAGTTAGTATTTTCATTATCTATTCACATTTTCTATTATAATTTTTCTAATATCATTTTTCTATTAATATTTTGTAATATATATTAAATAATTATCAATATTAAAATATACTATTAAAAAAAAGTATATCAAAGATAAATATGAAAATGATAATTAAAATAGATCCAAACTATATATATTCTATAGTCATATTAATAAATAGACATCTAAAATCTTATCAATCCTTTACTATATAATAATCATATTAGAATCAAATTAATAATTTTATTCTTTAGAATTCAATATTGATAATCTTTATATAAATCAATTTCTATATATGGATTAATATAAAAATAATTAAGTAATTACTATTTTCTAAAATAAGTATTGTTATAATCTTTTTGATATTTGAAATTCAATTTCATCAAAGAATTTATTTGAATTAATATAAAATACTTTAATGAAATTTTAATAATTAAATTTAAACAAGTAATTTAATAGACATAGACTATGTATATTTCTTTAATCTTATAATGAGTATTTCAATTGAAATCCTTACTATTTATGAATTATTATCTTATGATATAATCATTAATATATTTTTAAACAAAATTAATTTAATGTTTATTTAGAATCTCATTATTTTTTCTTATATAAATAAAACTATTTTTAAATAGTATATCAGTGTATTAGTAAAATTTAAGAATTTTTTTCTCTTCATATTACTTAATATTATGATTACAAAGACATTTTTTAATATCTATCATAACAAACACCATTTTTACAATTGATTAAATAAGTAAGATAAATAAATTTATCAGAATTTAATAATTTTCTTACATAACAACCGAATAAAATATATATATTTAAGATAATATATATAAACAAAACAAAAACATTATTTTTGAATTAATTTATTATTTTAATGGGAGTTTGTAGTTCATCCAAACAGTGTGATAGCAAGACCAAACACAAGGATAATTTTAACTCGGCATTGACCAATACTGCAGAGGTTCAGCAAACCATAAGAGAAATACTTCCAACCTAAAATGAATAGAGGTTAAATGAAAACCAAACCGCTTAAAGAAAATTGAGAAAATCAGGGACTTTAAGCTATTTTGAATATAAACAAGATAAAACAACAATAGACAAACAATTAAGTAAAATTTACTTTATATATGTTTAGGAAGTATAAGATAGATACCATAGAAAGTACCTTAACTTAAAATCAAAGTCACTGATGCAATAGCTTCAAAAGATTATTCTGTGTATAAGGGAAAGGTTAAAATACCCAATAAATCAACTCTTCGAGTAATGCAACATAATAGCGATGGATAATTAGTAATTATGGAATAATTGCCATATGATTAAGAAGGAAAGGATTATATTGAGTGGCTCTAAAAAACCAATTTGGTAATTATTATTGTGATAATGAATAGGAATTTTATCATATTGGAAAGATTCATGAAATCTTTATCTTTGGAAAGTAATTTTAAATAATAAGTGAATTTTGCACAGGAGGTCCATTATCTGATTTATTGCATTGCAAATTATCAGAATAGATAGTTAGTAATATTCTGGATTAAATATTTGAAATCATAAATTTCCTTCATTCAAATAAGTTATCTCACAATAAGTTGACAATAGATAGTTTTTCTTTTTATTACGATTTGTAAAATTATTTGATTAAGTTGACTGATATCAGAAATTTATTTAAACCTTAAAGAGAACCTTAACTTCAACTTATTTAATATGCATCTCCTGAAGCTCTAAGCTCTCATCATCCTCATAAATCAAATGATATTTGGTCATTAGGAATTATTGCCTATTAATTAATGACTAGAAATTTGATTTATGAAGGTGATCAAGATTTAACTACAATTCAAGAGGTGAAATAGGCAATCCTAAGATGGTCATCAAAATAAGATATAAAANCAGTGTATTAGTAAAATTTAAGAATTTTTTTCTCTTCATATTACTTAATATTATGATTACAAAGACATTTTTTAATATCTATCATAACAAACACCATTTTTACAATTGATTAAATAAGTAAGATAAATAAATTTATCAGAATTTAATAATTTTCTTACATAACAACCGAATAAAATATATATATTTAAGATAATATATATAAACAAAACAAAAACATTATTTTTGAATTAATTTATTATTTTAATGGGAGTTTGTAGTTCATCCAAACAGTGTGATAGCAAGACCAAACACAAGGATAATTTTAACTCGGCATTGACCAATACTGCAGAGGTTCAGCAAACCATAAGAGAAATACTTCCAACCTAAAATGAATAGAGGTTAAATGAAAACCAAACCGCTTAAAGAAAATTGAGAAAATCAGGGACTTTAAGCTATTTTGAATATAAACAAGATAAAACAACAATAGACAAACAATTAAGTAAAATTTACTTTATATATGTTTAGGAAGTATAAGATAGATACCATAGAAAGTACCTTAACTTAAAATCAAAGTCACTGATGCAATAGCTTCAAAAGATTATTCTGTGTATAAGGGAAAGGTTAAAATACCCAATAAATCAACTCTTCGAGTAATGCAACATAATAGCGATGGATAATTAGTAATTATGGAATAATTGCCATATGATTAAGAAGGAAAGGATTATATTGAGTGGCTCTAAAAAACCAATTTGGTAATTATTATTGTGATAATGAATAGGAATTTTATCATATTGGAAAGATTCATGAAATCTTTATCTTTGGAAAGTAATTTTAAATAATAAGTGAATTTTGCACAGGAGGTCCATTATCTGATTTATTGCATTGCAAATTATCAGAATAGATAGTTAGTAATATTCTGGATTAAATATTTGAAATCATAAATTTCCTTCATTCAAATAAGTTATCTCACAATAAGTTGACAATAGATAGTTTTTCTTTTTATTACGATTTGTAAAATTATTTGATTAAGTTGACTGATATCAGAAATTTATTTAAACCTTAAAGAGAACCTTAACTTCAACTTATTTAATATGCATCTCCTGAAGCTCTAAGCTCTCATCATCCTCATAAATCAAATGATATTTGGTCATTAGGAATTATTGCCTATTAATTAATGACTAGAAATTTGATTTATGAAGGTGATCAAGATTTAACTACAATTCAAGAGGTGAAATAGGCAATCCTAAGATGGTCATCAAAATAAGATATAAAAGATGAAATATCTGTAAGTTTTGAAGATTTAATTTATAAAATGCTCAATCCTAATAAAAATGAAAGATATACTATAGAAGAATGTTAGAAACATTAATTTATTGTACGTCATTAGAATCATAACTTGAATTGCTATTTTAAACACTTATTTACTGAGAATTTTAGTAGTAAGTTGTAAAAATGGTTTATGATTTATCTTCTAAATAACTATGAACATTCTCATTATCATGTAGCACATAGAATATTTGATGTATTAGATAAAGATAAAGATGGAAAATTAAATACAATAGAATTATTAGATTTTGAAAAAAGACTTAAAAAAGCATAAGGATAGGAAATGAATATTAAAGTCATATAGAATTTAATAGATAAAAATATGAATTTAGAATTAGAAGATTTTATTCTTATGATATCTAATAAATCATTATACATAACTCATTACAATCTTGATCATAGTTTTAAGAAATTAGGTAATAAAAATTAAGAAATTACTGTAAAATCTTTATCTAAAATAATCAATATTTCAGAAGAGGAATTGACAGTGGAATTTATTAATCATTAATTGTTTTATGAGGTATTTTTTTAATATTCTATAATAGTCTTATTGTATTCCTTTAGAATTTACATAATATGAATCAATTATGAACTAGATTGTGGTAGTTTAAAATGAATTTTAATGAAATTTAATTGATTATATCATTAATAAAAATGCTAAATTTGTTAAATTCTTTAGAAAACAATCCAAAGGTTCCATTCTAATTAAGAAGATATCGCCCTTCCTTAACAATTCAAAGTGAACCAAAAAATTAACTTACTAGATAACATACAATTTAAGATCTTTTAAACTTCAAATTGTCTGGCATGTCTAGTAATATTCCTCCAACATAATCAATAATTTAAAGAAAATTGAGTATTAGACCTTCATTAAAGTTGACAAAAATTACTCCTTTTGTCACAGAATCAGGAGATAATTGTACACCCATTATAAAGAGAACTATCTCTTTGGAAAACACCAAGAAAGTTGACTTTCACCCTTCAGTCTTGGTAATTTACTCAGAGAATGGAATAAAGAAGAGAGAGAAGTTAATTGATGAATTTAGAGTTAAAAGAAAAGGCACCAGAAAAAACTGTATAATAATTTAAAAAAAATGAGTATCCAAATAAACCGATTTGATGATAATATTGAGTATAGATTAAACAATCAAATATAAAAGCATTTTTATATTTAATCTTTCATTATCAAACCTTATTAAGATATTAATTTATCATTTATACTTAATTTAATCATAATTTTATCCAGATTCTAATTATATATATGTTATTTATACAAATTCTTCTATCAATAACTTTAACAATTTGATGATTACTCACTAAAAAATTGATTACAATTTAATCTTTGTTTATGGTTTATTAATATTTTGACTAATCAATAATTAAATTTAGATGACCTCATGAACAATTCAATTGAATTTTTACTAATTATAATGAAATCCAGTAGAATAAAGAAGTTTTAGATATATTCCTAACAATAATCACATCTGTAAATTTTAACACCATCAATATATTAATTAGAATGAAATAGTTTGATCTTAACAATTATTTATCTATTAATTGATTCTCAAATTAAATAATCTAATTACATTTCATCTTTTAATTCTTTCATACAACTATAATATTTATACACTAAAGTCTTCCATAAAATCCTATTAAATTATCATAATTGATATAATCATACAATCTTATCATATATATTTTTTTGTTTATTAAATTATATTAGCAATTTTAGATAATAATTTATGTTTTTTTAATTTGAAATGATTAATTCTTATAATCATTTATAAGTCTATGTGGAGGATTTATACTCATAAACTAAAGATAATTTGATGGTTCTATACTTTAAATGGAATAATAGTATGAATAATTCAATTGATTTTATTTATTTTAAAGGTGACTTATAGATTTAAAGATGAATCTAGTATGCAAGTGTATTTACTATTTAAAATACTAATTTTGTTGACTATCAATTTATAATATTGGAATTAGAGATATTTTGAATTAGTTAAATTTTAATCATTATCTGTATATTTTTTTATTGTATTCTGAATAATGATTGATTGAACAATATAACAATATAATTTAACAATTGATCAATAATTTTAGGATTAACTATTATTTATTTAATTTTATTTTTTCTTAAATTATTTTCTGATAGAGACTATTATCAATTTAATTGGAATAAGTTTTTTCCATCACATATGAATTACTTATAAAGAATTATCTTAAATATTATGACATAAGAAATTCATTTATAATAATTTTAATAATATTAAAAGCATCTAAATTTTAATTTTTCTTATTTAATATTATGTTAAATAAAAATAAAATGTAGACTCTTTATTATCAATCCATTGGAATTGGTGTTTCATAATTAAATATGAATTATGTGTACTCTTATAGATTTAACTATATATAAGATAAATATAATATTCTTACACCATCATTGAGATTAAATGATTTAAAATCTTATTGAATTTATAATTCATTAATATAATCTATTACTTTATATATTGATTTTGGAGTGATAAGATTTGATTATCTGGATAGAATTTTAAAACTAGATTCCATAATGTCTTAAGTTAAAATAATATCTTTATTAGAAGCTGATAGAAGAAATTCATCTAATGTGAGATCTTTTTATAGATTTAATTGATCAATCAAATCCCTACCTTCAATTGAAAATAATTCTTTTAATTCTTCTAAACTCAAACTTCCATCTGAATTAATATCAGCTGTAATAAATAATTTTGTTAAGACTTTTAAATGATCATTAGCATAATTTTGAAGTAAATACTAAAATATACATTTATGTAAATAGGTCATATTCTTACATTTTATCATATTTTTTAACGGTTGTAATAAATCTTATGGTTAAACTTATTTCATTTTAATGAGGAATGGATGTTCCAAACATTATTTTAAACTAATTCTATCATGACGATTGATATGTAACATTTCAAGTAATAGTGAATTCATCTCTGAAGGATATTTTTTTAAATAATTTTCAGGTTTGAATGAATGAATTTCTGAAATATCATAAGGAAATTCTTTATTTTTTAATTAGAGTATTATAATTGCTAATGCCCAAACATCACTACATTAATTTTTGGTCTTAATTTCAATATGATTATGATCATTATTTTTATGTTTAGAATGTTAATGTTTTGATTATAATGGATCTTCATAAAGATGAGCATCTTTTGGATACATTAATTAGTAAATGCTTCTGATATTAGATAATTTGATAAATGGTGTAGAAGAATCATCAAAGATTGAGAAACTGTCAATTGTTAATTCATCATGACTTAATCCTAAAGAATGTATATAACCTAATGCTTCAATCATTTAATAAAATATTATTCCAATTTATTGATCATCATATTTACGATTTTCTATGTATTTAGATAAAGAACCTCCTGAACAACATTCATACATTATCTAATATGTTTTTTTTTAATGATCAACAAGAACGTCAATTATTTTTACAATATGCATATTATCCTAAATTATTAATCTGCTTACCAGTTTAATTTCTTCCAATTTCTCAATATATTAATGATTCTTACTATCAAACTTAAGTAACTCAACTTAAACCAATTATCCTGTTTCATTATGTTGCATTACCGTTTTGCCTAAATTTTCTGCTATGTTATACATCATATCATACCTAAATTTTTGCTTGACACTATTGAATAGTTTCTAGAGGCAGACACTTAAAGAGTTTTAGTTCCTTATTTAATACTGTTTCTTTTATAAGGAACATTCAATAATGAAGATCTCTTTATTTATTGCTACTCTTATAATAAAGAAGGTTAGACAATCAATGTCTTTGTTGTAGTAGTTGTAGCATGTGAAGCTCTTCTAATACTCATTGTACCATTTTTTATTGAATTAATTTATACTGGAGTTGTTGATTTATTAGGAGAAAGGTTTCTTTGTGCACTCAAAGCTTTTTTATTCAAATTAAGCTCTTCCAATTAGTTTGTATTATTTTTCTATGCTGAAACTAATAAAATTTATTGATTTGCTTAGGTTTCTGGTTAAGGTTTCTTTTATTTCTAATTATTTTTTGTAGATGAAGAAGTACAAACTCCCATTAATTATAAATAATCAAATTTAAATTAGGGACATTTTGAAGTTTATCATATAAATACAACTATTTAAATATCTTAAATATTTTTATTCACTAGTATTAGATCTATTTCAACTATTCAATTCTTTTAAATAATATCTAATCCATTTAAATTAACTTTCTTTAGGACAAATATTTACAGAAAATATTATTTTTACTAAATTAATATTTATTCTGTGATTTTTATATTATAAAATTCTCAAAATAATTGATTAATGATATTTAAAATTAATTCAATTATTTACTAGAATTATTGCATTTAGTTATATATATGTACACTTATTTAATCAATTATTATAATAGTTCTTTATAATTTTTAATCTTAATAAATTTATACATAACCCATATAAAACTATTGACTTATTTTCAAAAAATACTATCACTGTTTATAATAATAAGTTTAATACATTTTTATTTGTATTTAATTTGTAATGTAATTAATATAACACTCATAAATTTTGTAAATAATAGCATTATTATATATTAAAATTCTAAGCCACTTGTAGATTTAGAATAAGATTAAAAGAAACTTGAAGAATTTAAACTATTAGCTAATATAGAAAATCATTAATTGGTTTATATCAAATCCATTATATAAAAAAATACATTATAAATTTAATCAATTAAGTTTAAATTATAAAAACAGAATAATTTTATAGTATTTCATTTTAACAATAAATACTAGTATTTTTTTAAAAGGTAGACATTAGATATAAATTTTAATGATTTATAAATTTATAATTTATTTACTTTTTTTTGGTATATTTTAATTTGTCAAATAAGCGGGAAATCTATTTCTTAAGATGAATTATTTTATAAGGACATTTATTTAATTATAAATTACATGTATACAGGCACTATTTCAGTAATCTATGGTCCAATGGTAAATGTATTATAATATTTCAGTTTTCTGGTAAAACTAGTGAACTAATGAGATTGGTTAAGAGATTTACAATTTCTGAAAGAAAATGCGTTGTTTTAAATTATGCAAACGATAACAGATACTCAGAAGAATAATGTATTTCAAGTCATGATAAGTATGCTGTTTATTTAAAAAAATAAAGACAATATTTAAAAGCCATAAAAGTATGCAAATTGAATGAAGCTTATGATAAGTGTAAGGAAAGTGATGTAGTGGCTATTGATGAAGGTTAATTCTTTTAAGATGTAATTAAAATTAATAATTATATAGATTGTGGAATTTAGTGAGAAAATGGCAAATTTAGGAAAGATTGTTATTGTAGCAGCTTTAGATGGAACCTTTGACAGAAAACCTTTTCATAATATTTTAAACTTAATACCTTTAGCAGAACGCATAACAAAATTAACTGCAGTATGTTGGTTTTGTAAAAGAGAAAATGCATCATTTACTAAAAGAATAGTATAATCATAAGAGAGTAAATAAAATAAATAAAATTTTAGTTGAATTGATTGGTGGTGAAGATTGTTATAAGCCAGCATGTAGATAATGTTTCCATTTAACTGAAAATCATTTGAAAAGTCAATCTATTCCACAATCAATATATGTTAATTAAGAGAATCATTATGACCAAAATAATTTGATTTGCTGAGCAAAAACTATAATTAATTTATATTTTTTATTATTAAACCATCATGAGTTATAATGGAAATGCATTATTGACACCTTCACGATATGGTGGTGAATCTTGGAATGCTTAGACATGCTTCACTGCTTAAGAGGACTATTTTGAATGTTTAGATAGAGAAAATTCAACTAATGGTAATTGAATAATTAATCCAGTCAATCGTAAACTTTGTGGAAGAGAACATTAATTATGGAAGGAAACATGTCCAGATAGTGATAGAAGAGCCTAAATGATATTTAGAAGACTTGAAAGACAAAATTAAGCATTGTATACATCAGAATAGCTCAGATAATATAATAATCATTAAAACAATAGAAGCTTCAAATGATTAATGAAAAATGCACAAAATAAAATAAAAAATATATTATAATAATATAAAGAATAAAAATAAATTAATAATCTATTTTTATTATATTGATATCTTTAAAATAATTGATTAATGGATAATATTTGGTGAGAAGAAATTGAATAAAAAAATCAAATTACAATTTTTGATTAAAGAGTATGTTTTAAAAAGATTTACTAAAAATTGTAGATATATAAGATGTATATAATTAAGAAATCATATTCCAAATATTGAGAATGATATGTTAATTTAAATAAATCTTAAATTAGTTAAAGATAATAAATAAAAAAAAAGTGATATATTAATAATGTCATATATTTCTAGTTGGCCTGTGTTTATAGAGTGTGATCCATGCACAAAGTTTTGGAATAGAAATGAATGTGTTATTGATCATAATATTTTAATGAATGAAGAATTAATGAAAACAGATCAAAAGAATATTATAATTAAAGAATAAACATATATCCTAACCAATTAGGGTTAATTTTACTATTAGAAACAAAATAAATTGAGATGGGTTTAATTAAATACATCAATGAGTGTAAAACTTATAGAATTAAAGTTACCTCAAAGAGAACATGATGTTGTAAAAGTAATCCGAATAAAGAGAAATTAAAGAGTATACGCATGCTTTTGGAGTTTAGATTTGTAATTGTTTAACTGATTACAGTTAGAAGACATTCTAATATTTTAAAAGAATAGCAGGATTTTGTGTATGTTAGAATTTTGAACAACTTTACACAATATAAGATCTATTGGGAAAAGGTGGATATTCAAAAGTGTATCAATTGTGTCCAGTGAATAGATTACCTTATTAGTAGTAATATTATGCTGGCAAAATATATAATAAAGTTGAAGTAAATTCAAAAAAGAACTTAATTTAAATATCACATTTAATAAGATAAGAATGTGAAATACTCAAAAAGTTAAATTCACCATTCATTATAACTTTATTTGAAATCATTTAATTAGATGAACAATTAAGTAATGAGTTTATGAATATGTTATAGTTTTGATAACAGAACTACTAAGAAGTGGATCATTATATTAATTACTTAAAGAGAAAGTTCGAATACAAGAAATTGAAGCTAATGGAATTATATTAAGAATTGCATTAGGATTATAATGTCTACATAAGTAAATGGGATAATTAATTTAGTTTAGGGTATGTTCATAGAGATATTAAACTTGAAAATATATTATTAGATAAAGATTAGATAAAAATTATTGATTTTGGATTTGCAGAATAAATAAATAGAGAAGTATTGACTTCAGGATAAGGAACTATTGGTTATATGGCACCAGAAATCTTTTAAGATTAACCATATACAGAATTAGGAGATGTATTTAGTTTAGGAGTAGTATATTATTTATTATTGACTGGTAAATCCCCATTTAGAGGACATAATTAAGATAATATTATGAGAGCAAATAAATTATGTGAAGTTGATTTTAGTGAATATTGTTTTGTAAATGTGAGTCAAAAAGTTATTAACTTAGTCAAAGCAATGCTTTAAAGAAATCCAAAAAATAGAATTAGTCTAAATGAAGTTATTCAATCATTGAGAACTTAAAATCCAATGATGGATTATCCTTATCATACTAATTCAGTTGATGGTTCTTAAATGACTAAATAAGCTGGAATTAGATCTCTCTATTTATTAAGTCAAAATTCTTAAGATTCACTAAGAGGTTAGAAAGCTTAGTAGAATAGATTAAATGTAACAGATAAATTCGTTGTGAAGACAAGTACATTTCGACCTTCACTTGTTAATTTAGATAGTAGTCATAATGAAAATGAAGACTTAGAGGATAATCATCTTCCTGGATCTGTTGTGGAATTCTTGTTTGTTTCAATGAACATTATGAATAACAATAAATTTCCATGATATTAAATTAATAATTATGTAATTCTCTTGTATGTTCTGTGAACATAAAGGGAATCTCCCAGAATTACTTAATATGGTAAACATCAAAAATATTCAAGGCTCTTTCTTCAAAATATCAAACTGATTTTTGTTAATTCTAATTACATAGTCCAATTGCTATTCAATTCTAAGATTAAGTATGTTTTGAAGAATAAGAAGAGTATTTCAAATTGTATTAAGTCTAATTATTTAGTTATTATACATACCCATATCTGAAAGATAATCAAAAACACCTTACTGAATATTATAGATATCATAGAGATATCCCACGCATTTTCATTAAGAATATCACTTCTTAATTAGAAGTTTATCATGAAAAATAAAGAGAAATCAGATATAAGAAAATAAAGAAATAATTAGGAATGTAAGTCAAAGATACAACAAGAGATGATATGATTTAACCATTTAAGGCTCTTAAAGGTCTTAGTGAGTTATAGACTTCAAGACAATTGTAGTAATTGTTAAAATAAATCAAACCACTTCATTATGATAAAAGCGGAATTGCAACTTTGATTTAATAATAAAAGTAATAGATGTTACAATCCCCAAATTTAAAAGGATTATTAAAAATGGATAACATTAAAACTACTACTACTTTGATGACAACCAAAAGAACTCATCATACTTATCATACTCTATAAGATATAAAGAAGAAAAGTCATAAAAAATAACTTACTTTATGCACTGATTACTCTCCTGATGAAAGGAATGATTTTTATAAGAGATGGTCTGATGTTTTAAGTCATAGATAATTATAATATCATAAAAATAAAATAAAATGCACTCTTCTTAACAAAAAGAAATCACTTAAATGATTTTTATAATATTGTATTTATAATATGAATAAAGTTGTAAGAATAAGATGGTAAATCATGTAATCTAATAATACTTTCAATGAAATTATCCAAAATCAAATTTACAATTTTTGTTTTTTAAATCATAATTATGAATTTCATATTATATCATATTCATCTATATTGAGAAGTTCTAAGATTTAATTATTGATATAATCTTTTATTATATATCTTATTCCAATTGTGAAGTATTATTAATTTATTTAATCTTTTTAGTCAATCTACTTCATTAAAATCTAAAAATAGTATTCCTATTTTATCAAAATAATCAAATTATTCTTTTATATATTCCAACAATTTACATTATTTTGGACACTTCTAAATTCATTAATAATCATCTCTACTAAATCTTAGACATCATCTTAAATATATAATAACTATAATATTATAAAAAATCTATATTATAAATTTTGACATTGAAGTAATTCAGAATATTTTACAACTCCTTTTAATCAGATTTAATTTTTACATTATTAAATTTAATCTACATACTTATAAATAATCATAAAATTAATAACAAATTAATATATAAAATAAGCATATGGGCAAAACTAATTAGATGTCTTGTTTTAACATGTAATTTTAATCCTTTATTATTTATTGAATGTGCAAATCCAATCTATTTATCAGTTTGATCAAAAACAGTATAATAGCTATGTAGAAATGCATCACCTAACAATAAAAAGTTATCTATCTCTGATCTTTCTAGTTTAGTATTACATTTTGATTGACTTTCATCTATTATTGTACAAGCTATTAAAATATTAATAATAATATTATACAATAGATATAGTCTTAAGGATTTAAGAGTAATTCTAAGGAACTATTGACTCTTATTTTTATAATAGGAAATTAATCAATAATTCCTTGTTCATGTGTTGCATCTACGAAACAATGTACAGTACTATAAGATGGTGCATAATTTTCAACTTTGTATGAACATTGTACTCCTTTTGCTGTAAATACTTACAACATATCATCTATTGCAATTGCAGGAATAGTTAGACAACTAGTTCCACTGTCAACTAGAGCTGTCGTAATAGTGAATAATTCATCATCAATTGACATTCCCTCTATTCCTATTAGATATTGATATTCAGATAATAGTGGTATATAAGATATCTTTTAGTCCTTTTACACAAATTGCATATCAATACCTCCAAAAAGTATATAACTACCAAATTCACCTTCATCTTTTAAATATAATGAAAAGTATTTTTTAGATATAAGTTTTTATTAATAAAGTGATTCCAAAATAGATGGATATGGATTGGCAGCAATAGAATGAAATCCAAGTCCTAGAATACCTCCACTTGATGCAATATTCCCACTTGCATTTTCAATTAATAGAAAGGATTAATTAAACTTGATATTATGCATCCACACTTAATCCCAAGCCAAAGTACCTGAAATAGGACCATCATCATAGAAAATTTAATAACGAGAATCAGTTTTAATACATGTCTAACTTGCTTTATAATCATATCGCTTGACTAATATATGAATTTCTTATTATATACCATAATTAAGGAATCCTTTTGCATCTATTGATGGAACCCATAGATCAGAAGATCCAGTATCTATAATTAATTCCATTTGTTATTTCATAGATCCAAATTACATCTAAACTCTGTATTCTACTTAATGAATATCATGAATAGGATCCACAATAGTTAAATGTCTTTTTATTTGATACATGATACTCTTAGTTTGATACAATAACCCAAGTAACACTATTAGAAACATAATAAATGAAATAATCAACTATTCAAAGTTAATTAAATCGGAGTAGATAAATGATTACGTTATTTTAGTAGCGTATGCAATCAGAATGGTAAAAAAGGTATGATCAAGTTAGAACAATCACTCCTTCAAAATAAATTCGAATAAGAACTACTCCAAGTCCTGAAAGACCAATAAAATTGAAATTTGCATAATCTCCTGTTCAAGCTCTTTATACAACATCTACAAAGGCAACTGTAATTTTACCATTATAAAATGAATATAAATATACAATGCCAGAAACAAGACAAGGGTGTAGATCAATAGAATTGTCAAATTAATTGGGAATAGTTTTGGGAGGGCATTCACATAGAGAATCATTGGAATTCAATTTTATAGATTTATAAAGTGGATAATGGTTATAGAAATAATAATTTTAAGATTGGGAATATTTGAAATATAGAATGAAGGAAAATAATACAAAATTAGGAAGTCATTTTTCAATAAATTATGATTTTGAAGAATAAACATTATATTGTTTTGGAGGTGAAAGAATATAAGGAGTTAGAAGATAAAGTAATACTTTAAGTAAGATACAAAATCATTAATTATAATAATTTATAATAAATGGTATCAATCCAAGAAGGAATCATACATCAACTTTAATGGATAATCAATTGATTATTATTGGAGGATTTGAAGATATGAATACAAAACCAAATTATTTTGGTGATATACACAGTATCAATTTGAGTACAATGAAATCAACATAATTATAAAAATAATTTATGAAAAATGGATTGGCTTATCATTAAGTAATAAGTGTATAGAAAAAGAATTAATATTTTGAAGAAAAAGAGAATGGTATATATTTATTTGGTGGTAAGGATTAAGAAGATAATTTTAATAATGATTTGCTTTAAATAGTTATAGGAACTTAATTGTAAATGAATGTTGTTTAAACAATTGGATAATAACCAAAAGCAAGAAGAAATTTTAGTATGAATTACGATTAGAATAGTTAATGTATTATTATATTTGGTGGAACAAATGACTTTGAGATATTTGATGATTTATATACTTTAAATATTTAGAGTAAGATTTGGTGTCATGTTTAATTGAGTGGATATTTAAATTTCTAACCTAGATATGATCATTGTTCATTATATTAAAATGAAAAGTTAATAATCTTTGGAGGATTAAATGAATTTGGATTTATTTTATTTAATCCAATATTAATAAATTTAAAATTAAAAAGATAAAAATTGAATCATTAGGAATGAATATATGTGTATCCATCAAATTATTACTACACTTCCTTTATTCTCAATTATTTTGTAAATTCTTCAATTAAAGTTTTATCTGATTCTTAATGTCCTTATTATAATTTCCTATTGTATTCTTCACATTTAGGTAAATATGGAGCTGCCATCTTTTTACTATACAAACTAATCCAATCAAAACCATTAAACCATGGATGATCCTTCAATTAAGATATTCCTCCAATTCCTAATCTTAAAGATTATTTTCTCTATATTAATTTATTTGTAAAATCAATAATAGATGGTGAATAATTTGGACATTCTTTTTAACTCAATTATACTTATCTACCAAGTATTTCATCTCTTACTTCCTTACGAGATCTACCTATATATGGTCTTTTGCCTGTAATCATCTCATAAGTCATTACTCCTAAAGCAAAATAATCAACACCATAAGAATGATTCTAACGTAACAAAACTTCAGGTGCCATATAACCAGGAGTACCACTTGTTTCATTATGATTATCCAATTTATGCACTCTTGCTATACCTAAATCTGTTATTCTTAAGTAACCTGATTAATCAAATACAAGATTTTCTGGTTTTAAATCTCTATGAATAATCTAATTACTATGCATATATTCTAATCCTAATATCAAACAACCTATAAAAAATTCTTATTTTCTTTATATATTATAATTTACTTATTTGATCTTCCTTAAATTATTTGTTTAATATCAAATGAAATCTAAGATCTCCTCCTGATAAGTAATCCATTACTAAATATAATGTTTCTCTATCTTAAAATGCAGCCACAATGTTTACTATAAATGGATGTTTTAACTTAGAAAGTAAGTTCTTCTCATTTATTACAGATTTTACTGAATTCTTGCCTAAAATTCTAAGTCCTCAATTTTATTTACTTGGCTTTTTATAATTCTTTCATAGCAAAGATTTATCTAGATCGTTTATGTTCTACTTTCCACACTTTACCAAATCCTCCCCATCCTATTACAAATTTTAATGTAAAATTAATCTTTCCTACATAACTATTATATTAATTAGTTGTCAACGTTGTACTTAAATTTGTATTCTTAATCTTAATTATAAATACTGCTACCTTAATCGTTATGCTATTACTATGTGGTAAAGGTTTTCTCTTTGTTGTCTTCAACTCTCCTAAATAATATGTCTTTCTTTCTGGACTATGAATTTATGCCTAAGAAACATGAACACTGAATTTGGGTTATGCAATTAATTTAGGTGATACACTCACCAATGGTGGCACTATTATATTAGAATTACTTATACTATCTTAAGATGCTCTTCTTTTCACTATTATTTGAATTGGTTTTTCACTCTCAGCAAATAGATCTCGAATATTTGTACCTTTCTTAAACATATATTTATATATATATTATATTAATAATAACAGTCAATCAATCCAATAATTATTTTTACTCATTTCTGTAATCAAATTAAGAAGAATATATATATATAATATTTATTATATCTAAAATTCACTCTAGATATGTTCTCATTATTAATAGTCTTTTGTATATATATTTATTAATATGTTATTATTTATATTATTTCCAATAGTATTTACACAAACCTAAGTGTGCCAAACTTCAGATTTCAACTCTGGATATATAAAGGTACAATATACTATATTATTTAGGGTGATCATATTGTCATATGTCTATTCTTCCAAACACCTGATAATCAACAATACAGATAAGTATATTAATTAAAAGTTGACTAATATACTGCACTCTTAGTTTCTGGAGCATATTAAACTCTATCAAGTAAATAGAGTAGTTTATGGGCTAATTCTGGTAGTATTTCTACTACTTATGGTACTCCATACTCATAACCTGGTGGTGCATTCCCAATTTAATCAATTGTTATTCAAATGATTTAAGGCAGTGTCATAGATGTTTTTTGGGATAATGTTTGTTTTGATGGTAGTTAATGTAAAGAAAATACAATCACAACAACAACAGGATAAAGTATTTCAGAAAATAATGATTTTGTCACTTCTTGTAATGGAGGTGCCTGTGATCCAAAGATATATGTAAGTTTTTTGGGAACTGATGCTAATGGTTAATATTATACTAGCAGTGGTATTAAATTGATTATATAATAAATAGGAATACGTATGTCAAAGTTTAGATAATACTCAGCAGCATAAATCTTTACAAATACTTAAAATGCATTTAATAATGTAATAGATGAGTATTCAAATTATACGTTATCAGCAAAATGATTATTTATGATTCAATTTAGATATTGATTAATTTAATACATAACCTAGTATTTAATTAGACTCAAATTTTTATCAAGTTAAAAGTTTCTAGGTATATTATATATATATATATTATTGATTTTAAATTTTAATGTCATACTCCTGTACTGAAAAACTATGGAAACCAATCATTAGACCTCCAAGACACTATTATTAATTAAAAGATTTAGGCAATCAAATCACAATGATTATCGATACAGTTACGAAACGAACAGATTTTGAAATTGTGAATAAAAGAAAACTTACATTATAATGTAGGTACACACTAAACAAATATTACCAGTCTATTTGAACCTGTGAGAGTTCAAGATCGGTAACACTCTTGTATGATTTATTTGCATGGAAATTCTAGCAGCCGAGTTGAAGCATTGACAATTTTAGAATACTTGATCCCTTATAACATAGCAGTTTGCGGAATTGATTTATCAGGTAAGCCATAGCTCATTTATCCAGGTTCTGGACATTCTGAAGGTGTTTACATTTCTCTTGGTTATTATGAATCATAAGATGTACAGAGTCTTATTGATTATTTACGAGATCATAAAGTAAGTTACAACTTTAATAATAGAGCCTTACATAACTTAAATAGGGTTATGGGGTAGATCTATGGGTTCAGTAACAGCTATTCTAAGTGCCAGTTAGAATGAAGATATTAAAGTATTAGTTTGTGATAGTCCCTTTTCTAATTTGACTCTTTTATGTAAAGAAATTGCAACATCTGGTTATGGAGTACCTGGTTGTTGTTTTGATTGTTTTTTTTGTTTTGTAAAATCAAAAATAAGAAAGGAAGCTAATTTTAATGTGGATGATTTGAATGTTATTTAAATAATAGGAAGTAATATTTTGTTAGCTTACAAATACTAGATCTTTCATCTTAAGTTTCAATTGCATTTTTGAGTGCTAATTAAGATTAATTGATTCCTTCAAAACATGCTAAATAATTACATTGTTTTTTTAAAGGAACTAAATTACTCAAATCATTTGATGGCCATCATAATTCAAAAAGACCAAATGATGTTATGAAAGAAGTGGCAGATTTTGTTATTTCTTAATTGGGCAAATAACAAAGTGATTAACCTTAGAGTTCAAGAGATACTAAATTATTGTTACTACACAATTAAAGAGAAAAGATATCTTTCCAATATGATGAAGTACATCCAATAATGACTGGAGGTTAAATTTCGAATAATGAATAAAATATTACAAAATGACAATAAATTTTGATTTTATTTATTTATGAATAATAATTTTGGATCACATTTCCATCTAAAAACAGATTTACCTATTCTGCCATAATCAGAAGTTTTTATTAGACAATATTCATAAGAAGTAAATTATTTATATATATTATAGAATGATGCAATTTGTAATAATCATGCTCGGACTTACAGTTTAGGAATCGAAAAGGTTAGCTCCAATAAATTCAATACTATCTCATAAATTGACACAGGGAAACATGAACTAAACTTAGCTAGCCCTCTTATTCTTAATTAAGTAAACTTTATCTATTATCATAGTAAACGGGATCAGAATTCTAAATTAATGTTGATAATATCATCTAATTCAATCAATAATGTATGATAAAAGTATATTAAATAAGCTCTAACTTTTATGAATTCCAATTATGCTACCAACAATTTTATTAAATTAGGATCAAACAATGAATTATTATAAAATGAAGATGATGTTAGACCATTTACTCCACCATAAGAGGAACATAATTTTGAAATCAATAACTTAAATGATGTAATGCAATCTCCAAGAAAATCATGTAAATTTAAAGCAGCTGGTAACTTAGTATTAGGAATAAGAAGATTATAATAAAATGTTGTTGAATAAATTACATCTTCAGTACTATTTATAGATATTAGGAATAATTTTATGAAAAATTTAACCCAAGTCCATGTTAAACTACCAAAAATATTCATAAAGTTCATCCTATTTAAGAATAAAAAGAATTCTAAGTGATAGAAATGCTCAATCAATTTAAATTAGTTTTTCATTTAACATAACATTCAATGAGTGGTTCATATGATGATATTTAATAAATGATTAAATTATTATAAAAAGATCCTAAAAGGTATATCTTATATAATATTTAATTAGAAATCTCACAAATCCTTAAGATCCAAATCATATTATTAATTAATTTAATTAATATGGATAAAATTCATTATACATAGCTTGTAAAAATGGAAATGATAAAGTTGTTAAATTTTTATTATCACTTGATTGTAATGCTCATATCAAAAGCAAAGTTTATGATGATCTATCAGAAAGCCCATTAGATGTATCTGTCAGATGGCATCATTATGAATGTGTTAAATTACTTTTAAATCAAATCAAATATACAGATGCAGAATTGAGATCAGCTCTCAAGATTAGTTAAAATCAAGAAATTACTAATTTAATCAAAAGAAAAATGAATTCCTCATTATTCTCCTGCTGTCTCTGAATATACTTAATTATTGTTATTTAATATAAATTTTTAAATTTCATATTATTATTCCATTTAATTCTTTTTATGTTTATTATTTTAATCTTACAAATAAACTTTCTAAATTGATTAATAATTTTGATTAATAAGTAACAATTAAATAAAGATACACATGATCTTAATTTTTAGTTTATCTCTAGAAATTACATTATCATCAATATTAATCTAAATAAAATGTTATTATATAAACAAAATTATCAATAATTAAATAAGTTTAGACATATAATAAAAGGTTATACAATAGAATGATGTTTCTTATATAGAATTAATAATTTTGTATATGATCTACTATATAATTAATTAATATAATGATAATTGTTTACAAAATAAATAATATATCAAAATTTTTAAAATATCTATTCCATTTGTATACCTATTTCAAAATTTTTATTTAAACAATTAGGACAATATTATAATATAGATGTTTTCCTTTTAAAACTTTGATTTGTTTTTATCCAAAAGAAATTACAAAATGAATTTACACATTTCTCAAAATTATAGTATTTAAAATATTTGATTTATATTTTCTAATATTAATTCTAAAAATATCTATCAATTATTAAATGATTTGTATTATTAAGTACTATTTATTATGATATCTTAGCTTTACAATGACAATAGATTTAAGAATATCCTTTTTTGATACATTATTCTAAATATTATTAAAAGCAAACATAATGATAAACATGATAGCAATTAGTTTCAACTATTTTTCCATTACAAGATCTCATACATAATTAACAATATTCTATGAATTATTAATTTTAAGAAACATTATTATGGTCTTTCTAGATTGAATCCATTAATTTTGATTAATTGAATTTTGATAATGCTTATTTAGGCATTTAATATTTATTTATTTTAAATTAATCTTGGATTATAAGTTAATAGAGTAATTAAACATCAGATTATAATTTTTAATTATGCTTATTAATTTCTTCAGTATTAATAGAGAATTTAGATTTTTAGTATTTAATATTCTTAGATGATGGGATCAAACCACATAAAAATGTTTCTTTTTCATTCTTCTACTTCTAACTATTGCTTGAACTTCTTATCGAGATTTTATTTTTACTTTAATAATTATTTCCTCTCTCAACAGATAATGAATGATCATTCATATAACTTCCTTTAGCTTTCCTATATTGTAATTTATACTTACTCTCTCTTAAATTATCTTCTTACTTTTAGATAATAATTGGTAATTATTACTTATACTATTTATTATTTTTCATTGTTATAATAAATCAAATAAATTTAATTTACACAAATAAATTAAATTCACAACACAATGGACAATATGAGATCTTATCCTCTTCACCTATGATAATAAAGTAACAATGTTCTTTAATACACTTTTAAATGATCTGCTTTTGATGTTAATTATTGGCTAAGTAATGGCTTTTAGCTAATATAAAAAGTTAAAAATTTGATAGAATTTGATAAATAATTGAGAACTCTGGTTAATTCATTATTTTAATAAAGTTTAAATGAATATTTGCTTTACAATGACATGAAAGAGTTCCAACTATATTAAAACTGTCCTATTGTTTTGATAATTACAATCTTATATGTTCTATTAAACAATTTAAATGATATTAATGTTTACATTCTAATCTGATAATGTGCATATTCTTAATAGAATCACACTTATCACATTTTATATATGGAATTAAATTTTAATTTCCCTTATAAGAATGATAAGTATAATTTTAAATTTAAGACTTATGATATATATCTAATAACTTTATTGCTTCTTATTCAGAATTCTATTAATTATTTAACAATTATGAAATATTAATATTTTCTCCTTTCTAAAATTATGAAATGGTTCTATTTAAAATAATTGAATCAGTTTTTGAAAAATTGACTATCTAATTATTATCTAAACTCTATCCAAATAATCCTAATGATTTTTAAACTTAGACTCTGCCTGTTGCTGAAACTAACCTTTCTTTTAATTTATCTTCATTGATAATCATTTTAGTATTTGATTATATCTCTTTCTTTAATTTCTCTATTTCCTATGTTAAAGCCCTAATGGTTTATAAATTTTCTTCTTAGGCTTCCTACAAATCAGAGATAGTTTTAAGACATTTATAGTTTTTACATCCTTTATACTAATGCGATTGATAACCTGCAGAACTTAATTATCTAGCCTCCTGTTGAGTAGATTGATATCTTGATCTATGGGATTGAAGCGTTGTTGTACCTATTCTAATTCCATTAAAAATAGAATCATTGACTGTTTTGGTTTTGATTCTAACAGATTTTTTTTTATGATATGAAGTTTAGAGATACAAATGATCCTAAATTGTATTCTCTCTTGTTGTTTATATCATAGTTTTATAACTGGTTCCATAAATTCCTAAACCACTCTCATTCATATATAAATTAATTATAATAATCATTTTTCCATCTATTCTTTTTTGTAGAATAATCTCATGTTCAAACAAGATTAACAGAAAGATTAGACACTTAATATATTTTCATAATCTAAGTCGATAATTATAAATGGACAAGAACTTTATTGACACTTATAAAAAGCAAATTTATCAGATTTCTTTATTAATTAAGATAATTAAGAAGTTAATTTGATTTCTTTTATAATTGCCCTTTGTACCTCATTTAATTAATTCATATCATGTTTACTTAATTTTTAGTTACATTAACAAAAACTGCTTAATACTTTTGGAGAATTTACAACTTCTTCACATAAACAATTCTTATGATAAGTGTGATTGCAATTCAATTCAATAAAATCTGTCTAAGCATTATTTTAACAACTCTTTAAACATTTATTCGATTAGACTTATTAATTATTCATAACAGTAGGTTTATTCCAACTTATATCTGAAAATGGTTACTTGAAAAGCATATTAAGATTATTAAAAATATCAAATGTCCTTTTTTGTGTAAGATTAGTATGATAAACTTCATTTGAAAATTTTCTAATTAAATGAGCATCATGAAGACTATTGAAATTAGATCTTGGATATTACACCTCTTCTGTTAGCTATTTTAATTAAGAAAATTGTTCAGATCTATTTATAGATGGTACTAAATTATCTATGAATGATCTATCCATTTATAATTTTTATCTCAGTATATTATTCTCTTTTCCAATTTCTTTTATTTTCACTATATATTTTGCTATTTTATCCTCTAGATTTCTAACTAAATAGATGCATGATTTATTCTTGCAAATTAATGGTTTCAAGTGTATTTAACTGAAAGGAGGAGCTCCAGATAAATCTTTATGAATTGATTAAGCCAAAACATTTTATGCTTGTAATTTTATTTGCGGAAGTGATGGATTGTGACTAACACTTATTAAACTTTCATTTGGAGAACAGATACGGTTTGAATGTACTCCTTAAAACTGTTTTCCTTTCACATTTAAAAAATCTCTCTCTGATAATATCATTTTATAATAATATTTAATTTAATATCAATCTTAATAATAAAAAATAAAGAACTACAACCATTTGACGTGATGGGCAATAGAATTCAAAATAATTTTTTTATTTATTTATAATATCCAAAAGAAGTTTCATAATATTTATTTTAATTTTCCTAAATTTCTAATTTGCTTGAATAAATAATAAAATTAATTATTAAATTATTCCTATAAGAAATTGGAGATATTATTTTGTTTAAAACATCATAATGAGTCAGAATATATCTTTAAAATTTCAAATGTAAAATAAAAATATTCTTCTTTTCCTTTATATAACATATTTATTATATAAATATATAAAAAAATAATATAAATGCATATACAAGTTGTAATTGATAGAGTTTATAACTATTGTTAAGGAATGTATTTAATAATTTTTAGAATATTTTTGTTATTTTTAGATCAGTCAAATGTATAATATTCAAATTTTATTTGATTTATTAATTATATTAAAGTATTCTAAACAACTTAGTTAATTATAGCATTATCCTTCAAAATTATTTTTTTTCAATTTTAAAAGTATGTTGATTATCATTCTTGATGCATTTAAATTCTTTTAAACATGTTATGGTAATTTTTAGTTATGATAAATTTAATTAAAATAGTAAAGAAAAAGAGATAGATTACAAAAATTTTATTAAAGATAAATTTTTCAGTTTAAATAATTAGATTTTTTATCAATATCATGACAGTTATAACAAACCCATTTTTTTTAGAACATCTAATCTTAAATGAAAAAGTAATCACATTAGTTGCAGGAAATAATAGTTTTTTAACAATCCCTTTTTAAAATTTTTAATTATTTTATTAAAAGTTGTTGATATATTTCTTTGTAAATATCCCTTAAGATCTTAGTTTTAATTTTAATTTCACAAAAACAAAGAATATTTGGAATATTATTGTTTTATAAAACTTATTTTGATATCATATCAAAAAAACAATTTTAATGATATTAATGTAAACAACTCAAGGAAATGATATTATCTTTGAGAGATGTTTAACATTAGAAACAAATTGCAGATACTGTCTAAAATACGGTGTTAAATAGATTTGATTCTTAATATTCTTAAGATTATTATAATTATTATTAATATTATTGTTATTACTATTATTGTTATTATTATTATTATTATTATTATTATTATTA